TTCTCTTCTCTTTCTATCGCTCACTTCTCTTTCTCTCCTCTTTTCTTTCTCTCTCTCCTCTCTCTCTCTTCTTTGTCTTCTCTTTTCTCTCCTCTCTCTCTCTTCTCTTTTCTCTCTCCCTGATCTCTTCTCTTCTCTCTCTATCGCTCACTTCTCTTTCTCTCTCTCTCTTTTCTCTCTCTCTGATCTCTTCTCTTCTCTCTCTCATTTCTCTTTCTCTCCTCTTTTCTTTCTCTCTCTCACTTCTTTGTCTTCTCTCTTTTTTCTCTCTTCTCTTCTCTCTATCTGTCTTCTCTTCTCTCGCTCTCTCTCTCTCTCTCTCTCGCTTCTCCCCCCCCCCCATCCATCCACCCACTCTAATATCCGGATTGTTTTTAAGTGAACTCTGCTTCCCAACCATGTTGCCTTCAGTTTCCCGAAGTCCGGAAGAGTGAACTTGGCGTATATATTCCTCATCTGGTCCAAGTTCGCCCTTAATTTGCCTACTATTACAGGAACTCTTCAAGCTTTTAAGGTACAGTTATTCTCATTCTCTAAATATTTCCCGATCGGTAAAATATGTAAAAGGTGGCGTGGTTCTGTTTGGTTTCTTGTGCCTCTTAAAATACTCGGTCGTGAGATATTTGATAATTCGCTGCTAGCTGTTCTCTTGGTGTATATGTATTGTTATGTTATGTTGATTATTTTCTCATTTTTTATTTCTAGCGTGTAAAATGGGAGTATTTCCTCCACGATGGAAGTCTTTAGCCTCGGGGATGCTTTGGAAGGCCTCAAGCAATTGTTCTTCTTACCCGCCCATATGATATGTCATATGATTTAAACTGAGTGACGCTCGCAAGTGACGTGGGGTGTTTGGTAGGCTGTGTTATTTGCACAGGTTTAACGTGTGGGTGTGAGATATATCATAAATGTAAGTTTTGAAATTCTATATCCCGAAAGAAGGAAAAGACGTCGAGATCGTTTTTTTAAATGTTTGAGACAGAATAGAACTCTAACAATAAGTTGAAAAGTTGAAACGAAAACAGCATGTGCCATTGTGTTTTCCTCATGTGAATGCTTCCTCGCTGGGATGTATATCTAAGCGGGAGTTCACCGTACTTAACAAGGGATATTGAAGAGATTTGTCGTATATCACATAAATATGGACGTTTATTATAAACATACTGCCTTTAACGATATACTCAGAGAATATGCTAGCTATTACTGGTCCTTTTATAATGAAAGTGGGCGTTAGGGTAGTTGTGTGGTTAAAGCGTTCGATCGACATGCCAAATCCGCGTTCGAACCCCGACATGCGTTCCCGTCCGGATATGGCTGTAATATTGGTTAGGTTGTGCTAAGTATTTCTTCATTATAGTAAACTACGGTTATAACGAACACGCTTATAACGAACTGACGGATATAACGAACTTACTTTTTAGTCCCGACTAATTGCTGTAGTTATGCTGTATATATGCTTATAACGAACTACGGTTATAACGAACTAAAAATAGTAGTCCCTTTGAGTTCGTTATAACCGCAGTTTACTGTATATTCATTATACTTACCATCTTGGGCCCACTTTAAAACATCAGCCTTAATGCTGTGACTGGTGTAGGTCTATGTTAAAGCTCAGGAGGTACGATGGCATTTGAGCTATGGTCGCTTTGTGCATACGGGCCCCGATGACGTTTGGGTGAAACAAAAAGCCATGTTGGTACATCGAACACAAATTATCCTTTTAATTTTATCAAGAGAGTGTGTTATGTAATTGCGATTTGATTGTCTGGTTTGTTTGTAGTTTAACGCCGCTCTCAGCAATATTCCAGCTATATGACGGCGGTCTGTATATACTCGAGTCTGGACCGGCCAATCCAGTGATTGACATCATGAGCATCGATCAACGCAATTGGGATCGATGACATGCATCAACCAAGTCAGCGTAATTGCGATTTGTATTTCGGGTGGTATAAAGAATGTAGAATTACCACTTGATATTAATAATCACAATCATAATAAAAATCACGAGTATTTATAGTCGTAAATTTGCTATTCAGTTGATAATATTGTATTTTCAGAGTTCATCAAAAACGGTACAATATTTAAGGTTTCTATTGAAGGCTAAAAGACTTAGAACTCACGTGTTGGGGTATTCTAAGTACATTTCATTTTACGGGCAGAACACGCTGAGTAATTCAATCAAGTATTTTTACGCTTGTAGAAATGCTAAATATTTGAAAACAATACCCTATATCATGGTACCGATCGTACCGTGCTGAGATAGGGCGTGTTGCAACTAGGAGCCTCGAGAGTGGGGGCAAAGGATGGCCTACCCTCCCCGCTTCTCACAGTGTCTATGCATGATCAGGATCTGGCCTGACCCTTCATAACACTCACCCTCACCCCAGCCACGACAGTCGCAGACCCCCCGTGCTTGAAGTTACTACTGTGTATGCCGTGATTTATTACTTGGGTCTCGAGGGGCGGGGGCAGGGGAGGGGGGGGTGGTCTCTGGGAGGGTAGGGACTTGGAATGGTTCAACATCTTGGAATGGAACGATGCTGGTATGGGTTGGGGTGGTCAAGGTGAAATTAACCAGGGTGTCTAGAAAGAGATGTTCATTACACCTATCGGGGCAGTCATGATTATAGCCGCTTACATTGATGACGACGTCGATGACTCAGCCACTTTAGTGTTGCCCAACAGGTGTTGTACTGGGACCAACTGGAGTCTGGTGATATGTGGGGAACTCGGGGTACGTTGAGGACCCACCGATTATCAGGTAGCACTGGGGCTTTTGTTTGGTTTGTTCGTTTGTTGCATAACGCCGCGCGCAGCAATATGACAACAGTCTGCAAATAGTCGAGTCTGGAATGACAATCCAGTGATTGACATCATGAGCATCGATCTGCGCATTTGGGATACGATGACACGCATCAACCAAGTCAGCGAGCCTGACCACCCGATCCCGTTAGTCGCCTCTTACGACAAGCACGGGTTGCTGAAGACCCTAAATCTTCATTGGACAGCACTCGGAGTTAGTGGGTAAATGATGAATTCAGTTGCCATTCTGGATCAGACAAACCTGTGGTTGATAACATGAGCAACATGACGTCTGGGAGCGATGACACATAAATTAATCCACTAGGCCACGTATGGTTGTAAAGTGAGTGAGTGGTGTTTAGCGCTGCAGCCAGCTATAGCTCAGTCACATCATGTTGGCGTGTAAATAATCAAATAGCCTCCTTATATACTCCACGCTCTGTAATACCAAGCATCGTAACATCAATAGTTGTTTGTATGTGTATAAATAGTCATGAGTAAATGCAGCCTGTAAATAGCCAAGCACACAAACCGGAGGTTGATAGCAAGAACAACTGTTCATGTCGGGGTCCGATGACACGTCAATAGTCAGGTCGGGGTGCTTAGGGTGTTGGGGATTTCTCCGCGCAGTCCGCACAATGTTTGCGTCGCGAGTGAGAACAGTTTAACGTCATAATGATCATTATCAAGTTATATCTGTGTTAGTTGTTTTACGCCGCACTCAACCATACACCAGCTACATGATGCCGGCCTGTGAAAATCGAATCTGGAGCTGACAACCCAGTGGTTGATAGTAGGAGCAACGACCGACGCTGTCGGGGTATGATGAGACAGAAATTAATCAAGTCAATGAGCTTGACCATCTGATCCATTTGGCAGCCTCTTGTAACCAGCATAGGTTGCTGGGGGCCTATTCTAACCAGGTTGGTTGGTTGGTTTGTTGTTTAACGCCGCACTCAACAATATTCCAGCTATATGAAGGCGGTCTGTAAATAATCGAGTCTGGACCAGACAGTCCAGTGATTGATATCATGAACATCGATCCATACAATTGGGATCGATGACATGCATGAACCAAGTCAGCGAGCCTGACCACCCGATCCCCTTTTACGACAAGCAAAGTCGCCTTTTACGGCAAGCATGGGTTGCTGAAGACCTATTCTACCCCGGATCTTCACGGGTCTATTCTAACCCGGATTCGCCACGGGTATAAATATATATAAATGTGCGTGTGTGTGTGTGTGTGTGTGTGGTTGGGGGGGGGGGGGGGGGGGGGGGTGGGTTAGGGTTCAGTTTAGATATTGTTGTCCAGCTTAGTGATGTTGGCGATAGAATTTACAAATAGTGTAAATTGAATACAATATATGAGGATTTCCGTCTAACTGTATTCCTCACATAAGGCCTGTACCTCCATACTGACTATGTTATCTCCCTTGAGTCGTCAGTGGGGCTTTAAATGAGTTCTCAAAGCATAAGCCAGTTGTATTTCTGTTTTCGTAGGCAAACATGTATCTATCCACTGGCAAAACAAACATCCTGACTGAACAAGGTTTGAGCACGCGAATATGTAAGAGAGTTTATAGTAATTGTCTATCATTGCATAATGAGCGATTTGTGATGTTATGGACAAGCTGATCATATTGACAGTCCCCTAATCCAATGACCCCCCGCGCAACAATGTTACCCCTGCAACATTAATAAGTAATAGTTACGCCAGTTCACTAGGCTATAACTTAGAAGCGCCAAACGTAGAAAACATATTTGTTCAAAAATAATGCAAGGCTACAACCAGCGCTCGACAGCGTGTGTGTGACGCTAGAAGCCTACATCAAAGACACAGAGGTAATAACTGCCACGTGAGGTCTTATCGTTACTGGAGGACAAAGAATTGTCACATCACAAAGCACGGGGTGTTTAATAGATACATTCACTGTTTGCATTGTGCGAGGGTCAAGCCTTAAGGGGTTCGCTTGTTCATTAACAAGCTGTAAAATGGAGGCGTAATTGTCTGAGGATAATGGACTGGAGTGGACTTTTTGTCATTCTCCCCCTCATCAGTAATTCATAGTGATCATGCTTCAACAGCATCCTCATCAACTGAACCACTTCTGAATATTGTCCACTCCAACTCTCAGTCTCTCTGCCACAAAAGTCTCTCGACGGCAGGTCTTTTCATTACTATAGAATACCCATGCACTCCCCGGTGGCTATACACAACTGCCTTCCTCCGCTAGCTTAAACCGTCGGATACTCGCGAGCAGGCATTGCACTCCAGTCAGAACACACACGCAATCAGCGGATAGATCCTTTCTACTCCGCGCTCGTTTCAGTTTCACCAACGTATATGAACATGGATGTCGACAGCAGAGTTGACTCGTCGTAGACGATGCTGTAAGGCCACAAGTATGACGGAGAGAGGGTGTCGTGACGGCGGGTGAAGCAAGTGACGACTGGGAAGCCGGGGCAGCCTTACCTGCGTTTCGGGGCACCAGTCACGGGTGCAAGCTACACACTACACTCACAGTACGGCCTGCCTGCCTGGCTCGCTTGGTGTCGGACCAGCCAATCAGGCCATACACAAGGAAGGAAGCCCGCAGTAATGCAGGCTGGCCGTAATATGACAACACGTTTCTTCAATGTATCCATACTTCAGTTCGCACGTAGGCGCTGGAGCCACAGGAGCTATACGTCTTCGCCGATATGAAAAAAGGCTCTCGGAATGATTGTACTGTGAACATATTTGTAAAGGATATTAAATCCAGTGGGAAATGTCGACTGTTGTAGATCCTCAATGCTGTGAAAATATTAATTTGTTACTTGGCCCTACAGTGTCACGATGTTGGAGTACATAGCTGTTGAGGCGTGTGTTGGTACGGATAAACGCCTGGTAGCCCCCAATGCATGGGGATAGGGGGGACTGGGGCGACATGTGACGATCCAGCTGACCATATACTAGGATCTAACGTTGTATGTCTCGTTTTGCACAGCGTACGCTGCATACATACACACCTTCGTTGTATAATCACCCAGCGGAGAATTCACAAGCCACTGAACTTACACAAAATATTATCTGTATGTTTTCTTCGAGTGGAGAGATGTGAATCCTACCCGCTCTGTGACTTGACTTGGTATACACGACAAGGAGGGGGTCACGGGGCTTCTACCCCAGGGGCACTCATGGCTCGACCGGTATAACATTTTCCCCGGAGTCGGGCTCTGCCATACCAAAACACGTGAGTATATTTTCCTGTATTCTCTCCTCTCTCTCCATGTACACATGGCTCGTTTGATACCTGTGCTACATTTTCGCCCAGGTAAGCGCATGTCACGTAGCGCTAGCGTCCTCCATCTATTGTCTCCATGTGTTCAACACTATCCTCGTGTTTCTGAATGTGTATGTTTCGGCATAGTTGCGTCCTTTCACCCACCACCTGCCTCTGTCACCCCACCTGTACTACACGCTGAATAAAGTAGACCCTGCCATGGTTCAACACTACTAAAACTCAAAACAAGTCAACCAAAATTCTCGTATCGCTATCAAATGATTAATACCCTTCAAAAATGCAATAAGTTACACTTGACGGGCGAGTTCAGTTGAATATGTCAACGTTAGTCATATCTCAAAAACAGTTTTATGCTGACTCTTACGATCGTAATAACATCTAAGTCCCCTTTCAATAACATGGTTTAGTTATGTCGCCAATACATTTTCTCTCAGATTATATATTTATATTATCTCAGCATATTAAATTGTTACATATTCAATTGTTTTGTGATATATATTTATCTTATAAGTCTTTATTTTTATAAATTTGTAAAAAAAAATATTTAACAACTCGGAGGTGTTATTTAGCAAAATAGCGTTCGGCCTCGTCGAATTTGAAACAGCGTTGACCTAGGCCGCGAGTAAGGCCGGACAGTCATTTTAGTAACGGACCGTCTTCTAACTTGTTTTATGGTTCTGACGATAGACAATCGCAAACAAAGCCCCGGTTTGAAATGCCAACCCCCACCCCTAGGCCGGGCTCATCCTTGGTTGTGATAACGTGAATTTGCCGGTGTTGTATTGTAGTGGAGTGCTACTCAGTGACGTGTTCCAGAATCAACCCCGAATCTCTGTTCCTTACCAGACCCCCAACCAGCCTTGTATAATGGCAACAGCTTGCCGCGATGTCGGCAAGTTTATCAAGCTAATTTTTCATCTAATTGTTACAGCAATGATGCTTTAGAAACAGGTGTGTAGGAAAGCGGGCCACAAACCTGTGACGGTATTTTGTTGGGAGAAAAATAGACATAGAATTTTTTTTGTAAACTTTGAACTTTGTAAAAACCTTTTGTGGTAGAATGTTGTAAATATGTTAAAGGTCATTTCGTCACGACTCTTTTCTAAACGTTTTGTATGAAAATACCATACAAAACCGTCTACCAGCTGTAAACAAAACCGTCTACCAGCTGTAAACAAAACCGTCTAACAGCTGCAGTAGTATTTTCACTTTATCACATCACCAGATATTTCGCTATACCTTACCCCGTGCATTCAACTTTCACAATAACACCCAACCAGCGTGAATATAAACCCGTTACTAGAGACATATGAACGTTTAACTGAATGTACACAGGGTAAATCATTTTAAATCCTCAAGTTTAACATAATTTAAAAATATGATATTACAAAAAAGTGAACATCGATAAACCCTGAACCCGCAACTGTGAGATATGACTGATAACACGGCGCGAGTTGTAACTCACTCCCATAGTACAGCCTTATTGCCCGGGGCAGCGAAAAACACTGATGAAGGCTGGGTATGAGCATGCTTTGAAAACACGACTGCTCGCACTGATTTCGTTCATTCACAACGCATAATAATAACACCACCTGTAGCCAAGAGAATTCTACCAGGTCCACTGTGGCTATAGGTAAAACGCGTAGCTGTGTGTCTCATATATTTATGGGCACTGTAAGATGTGCGATATACACTGTATCGTATCGGGGTCACCTCAAACATGAGAAAGTTTGTAGGGGTCATGTGCGGGGTTAATAGTTTTAATGAATTTCGTGTCGGGGACAAAATCGTCATAAATTCAATATGAACGGCTTATATTAAAATCATACTTAAGCCGTTCGAAGTTTGGGGTTTTCTGTCCATTTTTTTTTAAATTATGACAATGATACCATTAAGGCCCTAACGTACTGATATTTTTTTTTATTTGACAATTTTATTTTTTCTATTTGCAATTCTAAGTGATGGGACGGATTGACTTTTTTTAATAGGTATTCCAAATTAGATCGTTTGGACTATTTTATAGTGACATTTTGAAATCGGGTTTAATGTCAAATTCGTCACTGGCAATAATCTACTAAGAGTACAGGAGTGTTTTTCTGGCATGCTATTAAAGCTTTTAGAAAACAGAAAACACTTAAATAGGATTAGTGGGTGAATTGTTGTTATAAGCACTCAATGTAAACATTTAGTATAATGATTACAGTAAATAGTGCCACTTAAATCTAATTAGGCGCTCTTAAAAGTGATTTCCATTCTCTCTTGCCGCTGTGAAGTCGCCACTCGCTCCGGTTAAAACAACACCGCCCCCGTTTTGATCCCGTCACCCTGATATGAAGGCGCCACGGCGAGGTCCGGGGAAATCGTCATTGCATACAACCCCGTCATATTAACGGTAAATCGTGAAATTATTTATAAAATTTACTTAAAGAACTTGTGTTTTTTATTTTCTTTCTTTAGTGACTTCAGGTTTAGTTAAATTATGAACACAACGTATACGACTTGTAGTATAATAAAAGTCCAACTAAATTGTATTATATATTAAGGACAAACCATGACAACGTTTAATTTGAGGAAACAACAGTGTTGTGGGGTGATGCGTAGAATATAGATATATAAAGTATATATATAACATACACAAGCTAAAGTATCGTAGGCAATGAGAGGTTGTTATTGCATCACGGGCCGACAGTTCATGTCAAACTTTCACCGCGGAACTGTCATCTCCTTGAGATTAACTTTATGAATATTTATTTATCCACATAATCAACATTTACAAAACAATTACAATCGGAAAAGATGTTTCCATCACAAGTCGTGTTCAACCTGGCGCCTCGTGTGACAAGCGCTCTTGTTTCGCGTCAGGAAACCTATGTTTGCACGGCCACAGGAATTCACAACTGGCGTCATTTGAAACCTCTCATTTTCTAAAACACAATTTATTTGAGGTTTATCTGACAATCTGTTTCTTTTGTCACATGAAGACATTCTGTAGATTTATGAAACGTCATAGGACTTTTATTTTTTTTCGTTAAAATGATCCTTGATCAAAACTCGTTTGATTTAAAGAAATGAAACATTGACATATCACAACGAACCACGTCTTACGCACATATTGATCTCATATCTTCTGTGATAAACAGGCAAAAAATAACATCATAGCTCTAAGTTGATGAGGATATTATAATAACTAGGTTAGAAGCAGTGTTGTTCTTAGACGTTTCCCCAAAGAAACTACTCGTCAAAATTAAAAAGAACAAACTGTTCCATAGTGAGAGGAATGACATCTTTGCAAAACATAAAAGACAAAAACTGAAGAATATGTGTGATTACCCTGTAATAATGCTCATTAATATTTCATTACGTGGTTATAAAGCATGACTCAATTCGGACAGATTGATATATCTTCTCGTTTTAACCTAAACTAATAAAAGATGCATCTCTCCGAGAAGCGGGGGAAGCTGGTTAGCAGTTTGTCTTTAAACCCCTGCTTCAGCTTCTTGTGTTTCTATGTTTCTTGTAACATAAGTTAGCATGTAGAAGATAAAATCTATGTGAATGATATGCTGTGGTGTAATATTAGCCGAACAACACATTTTGTTACTGAGCTTCTTTAGACGCTGGTGACAGAACGGCAGCCAAACTATCCTGATTTACTGGGAATAAAAAATATTGACATTAATACTTATTAACATTGAAGTGATAAAAGTGCCCGTCAACTAGTACTCACAACTGAAAGTTATACCCAGTATTTCAAGTAGGTCACGTTTGCCTTCCCCTCCCCTCCCCCTCTCGGTCCCCATCTGTCATAACATTTACCTGTGTGTCCCTCTCCGACCACCCAACCCCCATCCCCCTGACCCTGGGCTCTCTGGGACGCTGGTATCCCACCGTTCACCACCGCTGCCCTAGTCCCTACCCTAACCCATGCGACAGGGTAGACAGTGTATCTCCCAACACATGCTACTCTTGAGCCAGTGTGTACAACCCCCACCCTTAGTGGTTTAGCTACGACCCCACCCTACAATCCCCGCCCCATGGGATGTTTGTCGTATTACTTAAGCATGTTCCATCTGACAAAGCATTTCTATACACGGTCGTTTGAGCTGCACATGTGCACAAAATAAACGTACACATGCATACACTCGTACTAAGGCGCGTCTCACAGCGACGCACACCCCCATATCCATATGATGTACGCATCCCAGCAGTCTCTGTGATGAATGGTTGCAGGATGTACCCACCCCGCAAATACCCACCCCTATATATCCTGGTAGATGTGCGGGCCCGAGCTATCACCAACCTACCCACTGAGTTTTCTCTCACGTTAAACACTGCTAATATTTCACTGACCCAGATTGCGGTCAATTTTAAGTACCAACATCATAAACGCATATCTTACGCATTTGACCTTGCGGTTCTAACTCCTTAGAAGATTTCAGTCTCGTGCTATTTTTATAGCCTTCAGTAATAATTAACACACAATATCTAAGAGAAGTACGTATACAGTAACACTACTTTAGGAATACTTATCATAACTGTAACATCAGCTAAAAAACGTTCTAGGCTAGGACGATTATGACTTAAAGGACGAAAGCTTGAGAAAGAAAACACTTTGAAATATAATTATAGGTGTGATACTTTACTCTATATCTGTAGACTGACAGAGCTCGTAATGAAACGTCTTCAACAGAATTAAACCCTGTAAGCGTGGATTTCAAGTCCATGCATACGACACGAAGCCTGAATGACAAAATAGGTTCATAAAAAATGAAAACCTGTTCAATTTTTTTTTAAAGTTTTCTTCATTGTGAATATTTACACCCTGTAAATAATGATAGCGCTTTAGTAATATAGTGAGGCAAGCAGAAAATAATGATATAGCGTTGGTAATACAAGTGAAGCTCAACGTCACCTCAGAAACAAACACGGCCTTCATTATTACCATTAAGTATGGCTATATCAGTTTCGTCTTAATTCGGACTGATAAGTTAGATGGTAGGATGATAACCAGTTAATAATGTGTATATAGAGTTTTCGATGCCATGATTGATCAATTGAACAGAAATTATTGATGATATGTCATTTGACAAATCAGTCATTACAATCAGGAGACTGACATCGAGTTTTCTTGTCAGAATGGTGTTACTGAACACCTTATCATGGTATTGGCGGCATGACTAGCGTTGCCCTAAACATGCGATTCTTGTGTTTTTCTAAGTCAACCAGTCACCCGAAACCTAACAAAGCACTGGAGTGGGTGAACGAGCGTTCTATTAGTGTAATTGTGTTCGGGAAAACAAACCGATTGCTAATCAGTTGCCACGAACGGCTTGGACAGAAGCTCTGGCAGTAGCGTAACACTAATTGACTGACCCACTCACTTACGGCAATAATGTTATTTATATTGATAAGAGATAAAATTCTGATCTTAAATGTGACTTTTATCATAGCACTCATAATATTTGTTTTCAACAATGCACGCTAACAAGGTTTAAATAGATACGCTTTGGACCCACACAGCGACAGAGCCGACGAAAGTGGCTAGAGTTACCTCCCTTTGCCTTTGAGTTAATCGCGTCAGTCAATTGTTGTGGGGAGTCGGGATTGAACACGGCATGGCAGATGTCGAGGTTTATAAGAATCGGCAAGGCTAAGGTGGAATCATTCAGCCAGCACATGTGAACATCATCAAGGGATATCATATTTGATTGGAACTTCTATCGGATTCCTTATTTTTCGTTTTCTCGGAGACATGTTGTGCAGTGACAGTTGTATATTTCCCTAGTCTGTCGGGACTATGTATGGAGTAAAACGATGGACAGTCGGTGAGAACACTTACTCAGTATTAATGTTATAAGTGACATCATATGTTATTTATGCTTTTATTATATTTTAGCAATATGAATTAAACGAATAATAATTCATTCCTACTTGCATTTCATCAAAATTCTTTAGATATCTACATATTTAATGCACTAGTATGTTATACCTAACATCAGGGTGATTAAGGAATTGGTTAGCTCCTGTTATATGTTAGACCTATTATTTCTACGATAGGTAAGTATTTATTTGTTATTTCTTATGTGTATTTTGTGTACATCGGCTACTGTTTGTTCGACAACGTGTGAAGTATCTAATCTGCATATATATATATATATAATACTTTCTACAGTGAAAACAAAAATATGCATTTATTTCGAACGCTTAAGGATGAGACATCGCAGTAAAATATATAACCAGACGGAGAGGAGGCTTTATCTGCGCCGTGAGTTAATTCATTACCAATGGAATCTCGAGCGAGGGGGCGTCCAGCATTGGGAGGGGGTTTTGCGCGGGGGAAGGGGGCGGTTGATTCAGGGTCCCGTACTGTGGAGGAAGCTCGCTTATATTTATTTTAAAGTAATAAGTTGCACATTTTTACAGTAAGTTTGAGAGAATTTTCGTAAAGTAATTAAATACGTTGTGATACGCAGGCTTAGTTGGAGAGACAGGTATGGGCGTAGCGAGTAGCGTGGACCCATAGGGGGGGTGGTATACTTAGAGATGCGACTAAAACAATTATAACCTAGCATTTCTGTGCCCACACAATGTTTTGACACGAACGCCAGCTTACCCCAGCTAACGGGGCACGGGAATTAGATTTGCATTAAATGTGTCAAGCTCAAGCGTATATTTCTTTTTTAAAAGTACGATTTAGTTTTGTTTCACTTGTATGAAAAGTTCGAAATCCTGTCTAACATAAGAAACTGTTTGTGTCTCAATTTTTATTTCAAAACTGTCGCCGAAACGGTACCCGATTATCGTGTAAAATATATGTATGCAACATTACAATGCCTCTTAAACATGACAGTGTCCCAAGAGTGCAAGGGCAGTGTTAACGGCGATTAAATAAATTCAAAGTAAATGTCAGCTCCTCGCTTGAGCTCTGTCGACACGGCGCAGGTGCTGTAATGAAGTCATATGGGAAATTAGCTTTTTTCTCACCTATTACACAGTGCTTAGTATAGCGTCTGTCAGCTGTGCTATACTGTGCGAGAACGTGTTCGGGGCTCGATATATGCTTGGAGTATTGCTAATTGCCTACAACACTACTGTCACACGAAGGACCCGAGGCTAATGGGCCATGGCGGTTTAAACTGTCACTGACACCCCCATTTCGCTACCGTTTAATTTACAACCCCATGCCACAAGAACTGCCCCGAGACCGCTGGGCGCAATTACGCCATAAACCTAACAACCATGTGTATATATTTATTCTTTAAATGATCCCAATGCTATTTTCATATATCAGGGACGTAAACGATAATATTTTCTATTTCTGTGCACTGGGTTCATTGTTAGGCTGTCGATTTGTAGTGTTACGTTACGCGTCATTCAAGCAGAACATCTATTTTTGAACAAGAATATACAAATTCACTCAAACTATTCAAGTAATAGTGCATATTTCTTCAAACGTCAAACTGGCTTGAAATAGCCGTCTGTTGGAGCGCATCTGAGGGACTCGCATTCTCCACCTGTAGAACTTGGCTCCGCACTCCGTAACCCCACCCGTCACCATCAGCTCCCTCCCCCCTCCTCCTAAGTCCCCTCCCCCTGCAGCCCCGTCCATGCGCGGTGAGATGTTGGAGAGGCAGGCCATTCCATCTCGCGGTACTGCCACCTGTCCCGACTCGGCTCCTGTCACTGACGACGTCTGATGCCGTACTCCTTGTTGCGACTGCCGCCGTCCCAAGCGCTGTAAATGCTTCGTACTTCTTAACGCTTGTAAGGTGGTACCTTGATGCAAGCATGGAGCCTTGAAGCGAACTGATGTTAGAAGTCATCGTAGCAACAAATCGAGTGATTGATTTTTTCATTCCTCAGATCAATATCTGTTGGAGAACTGATATATTGTTTCTCGGGAAGCTGACTTGATTAGTGTGTCAAGATGTGTTCCACTTGCATAGCGGATCCCGACACCTTCTTCGTAAAAGTTATTGGTAATTTATAGTGAATATTTATTATAATCATTATTTTACACCAACCTTCATCTATGATTCATGCCATTACTTTTTTACGTCTGCTTCAAGGTATCATTTGGATGTCAGCGCGCCGTGAGTAACGGTTACTTCGGAGTTACCTCCTCGTATGACCTTGACCTAACTGTACCATATTTGTTTCAGGTGTCCACTTCAGCATGAGCGCGGTCTCCAGGACAACCAGTCTTGTGCTCCTGCTTAGCCTCACGTTGATTGGTCCGAGCTTAGAGCTCTTAGCAGCTTCTCAATCCAGACCGGCATCAACAGACAATAACGGGATATCAGGAAAAGCATCTGTGGGAAAAGACAGCGACTTTTTGAAAATCGTGGAAGCTGGCTTGTTTAACAATCTCGGTTTAAAGAGTCGCCCCAATCCCCAGCGAAAGTCCGACATACCAGATTACATGTTGGAACTGTACGATCTGTACTCAAGCCGGTCTGGCTCAGCCAGTCCATTCCTGAAAACCAAAGGGAGAGGTCTGACCTCTGCTAACACTGTACGGAGTTTTCTTCATACAGGTGAGTGTCCAAACCAATTTACGAAAGAGTTACATATAATTAGTACATCCGGGCATCACCCTGCAGAGGATGACGTAACACTGACATGCGCACAGCGTACCGTCCTTCAAGTACACGTAACGTTTTAGCTGACCTTACCTTTGATTAAGGTCTCTTTTTTGGCTTACGACGGAAAATAATGATCACAAGGAACTGATACTGTTCTAGTAGTATATCCCAATACATCCTCTTAGACGTTCAAGCGAGACATTGTGCTTTTCAGTCACACACTTATTATGACAAACTCATAAAAACTTCCTCCCTTCCGTATTCTCCACTTAGTTTAAAATAAGTTCATGGCACGCTAATACACGTGTATAAAGATGTCAAATTTCAACCAACAACATCCTGAACGGATGTTTACCCCGTGCATCAGGCTTTATATCGAATGACTGACGTATCTGAGACGGTTTGTACCTATTTGTTCCCTATACCGAACGACGACACTGTGTTCCAACACAGGTTTACAAAGCTAATACTGGCATCGCCAGCGGCCAACTATCTTAGGCATGAATACAATAAAATTATTACACATAAATTCTCATATCCCATAGCCACGACCCTATCCGTCGTCATGGAGCCTGCAGGCTGGGCTTTATATTGTATGTGCCAAACAGACAGCCTTATCAGTTTGTAATGTAGGTGGTCAGTGAAACCCGCCTGCCGCTAGCTACCGACTGATGACCACACACAGTATTTCAGGGGACGCTCCGAGGAGCGAATCTGAAGTAGGAAAAGGCTACAGGACAAAACATAATCTTCAAAACGAAAGAAAGTTGTTTCTGTATGAACTGGCGATAGGTCAGACTCAAGTGTTTCGTCTCGGGGCATGCGTAATTCGGGGCCTATTTTGTAATTGTAATTAAACGTTTAGCTTGAGGTAGATTTAGGTATACGGCCCTTTAACGCGCACGGTAATGCTTGGATCTTGGACCAAGTGGTTTGGGTTAGGCGTTTAACACAGGTAGCCTTGTTGTAAGATTTGTTGGAGCGGAATTACCTGACGGGTTTATTGACTGTTGTAGTGATAAATTGAGGTCATCACCAGTGCCTGCGTTCTTCTTGTCTTACGTGGCTTCTTGTGTTTGATCTTCGACATATGTCTGTAAACCACCGAAACCCCCGATTTCATTTACAGTTGTGTGTCATAAGCATCGTGAAATCATTAAGTAACTGATAAGGCCACTTTTGACAGTGCGATAGGTTGATAGTGCAGGTAGGCCTGGGGCGGGTTGACTAATTTCGGGACCCCTTAAGGAATAACTCAAGTCATCAGGTGGAACGTTCGCCAAGATAAACAATGCATTGTTAATTCATCATTGTGTATCGATCGCTGGTTTTACTTTCCACTGCGATCGATGTCGAGCATTCGGTGAGGCTATATCATAGCTTAGCTCTTACCACCGTAATTTTAGGTCATTTTGCAGACATCTTCCGCGTTTAAATTGCTTTCCTGTTATTATCCTTATCAAATCTTTGTGTCTGTCATTTCAGTGGAGTAGATACAATCTTATTCAAATGAAAGAGATGGTCTATTTTCTTCCAAATCGAAACAGTAATCCCTCACGCGATCTGTCTTATACTCAAAATTCAAGCGAGCCATGCATTCGGCTTGAAACAAAGCACCCCTTAATCATGAACCCTTTCATGCAAGAAAAACAATACTTATACGCGATGAAGTTGCATAAGGATTGTTTACGAAGAGGGTGTCCCCTTGGCACAAATGGCTCGAGGTAGTTAAGACTCGGTATTCTGATTAATCAGCTGTTAAAAACTTTCCACAACCCGTCCAAGGATTTGCAAGGCCGATGGTGACGAACACCTTCTGTTGATGATATCAATAAAGGTCTTCTGTGATAGAGACACCACTATGTCTATAAGGATAGGTGGATGTGTGGCCTGACTGCCATGGTGAGGGAAAAACATTCGAAGGCCGTGGAACGGAAACATTCGATATTTCGGTGTTTGAGATACATGCTTTGGATGGAAGTCTCGTGCACAGCAATATCGTCTGTTAGTAGTACACACAGTAGTATCGGCTGTTGGCAATGGCATACGGGGTGTACGGACAATTACGATCCGCGCCATTCTTCACCTTCCCTGCCACCTCTTGGATTTCCAGACACAGAGATGTGTTTACATGTTTCCCTGACTCAGTCTCCTCGGGCGTTTGTCGTCTGCTTCTTGATCGCCGCAAGGAGTCTGGAAAGGTCAACGGGTGAAAAAGGTCACGGAGACAGTAAGGTTTGTTCTGTCTGTGTTGGGACAGTTCATGGAATCCCACAAATATCAACGGTGTTGACCGCTGTCGATTTGCTTCTAAGTCTAGAACTTACTACAGCTCCTCGTATGACGGTGTTTCCATCGTGGCGTTGTGGTTCCAACGTCAGTGATCATAAATATATCCTGAAAATACTTATCAGAACCATCTTTGTGGACTCCAATATTCGATCTATCAACGATATACAGAACCATAAAAGTGTTTATCCCAAATTTACAGATCAATCTGCTCAAATCAGAAGTTGACCGACGTTTGAACAAAGATACCTTATGAGCCCTAGTCACTGAATTCATTTGTCACAAAACTGACATGGTCATTCAGCATTATCAGTTCGGGATGCTCATGGATGAGCTGGTGCAGCCCAGTGTCATAACACGCACCGTGGTTGTCCAAGGCCCGAACGGACCAAACATAGAGTCACATCTGGCCTCCCTTTAGCCCAGTCCAGTGTATGTATTCCATAAGTCAGATAGAATGTCATCCCTAATCTCTTTGGTCACGTTTTGCATAATCATAAGCCTTTGTTCCCAGCTGTCCATCTCAATTGCTGGGAGGGTTGGCAATACATCAACCCTGCCATCACAGGATTTACCTGTGTCATCCTCCCCCCTCATGCTTTATTGTCCCCATCTCCGCCCCCCCATCTCAAACCATAACCAGTTGCTGGATGTGATGGCACTATGACTCTCCTGACCCCATGCTTTATTGCCCCACCCCACCCCCACCCCCCACCCATCTCAAACCATAACCAATTGCTGGATGTGATGGCACTATGACTCTCCTGACCCCATGCTTTATGGCAGCCCCCCACCCATCTCAAACCATAACCAATTGCTGGATGTGATGGCACTATGACTCTCCTGACCCCATGCTTTATTGCCCCACCCCACCCTCACCCCCCACCCATCTCAAAGCATAACCAATTGCTGAATGTGATGGCACTATGACTCTCCTGACCCCATGCTTTATTGCCCCACCCCACCCCCACCCCCCACCCATCTCAAACCATAACCAATTGCTGGATGTGATGGCACTATGACTCTCCTGACCCCATGCTTTATTGCAGCCCCCAAACACCCCCCCCCCCAACTCAAACCATAACCAATTGCTTGATGTATTGGCACTAAGTCACCCCTACCTTCATATCGCCCCCACCCTCTCTGGGCAGTCAGTCCAATGACCAGATGGTGGACGCACCCCAGCTTCAACACCACACCCATCCGGTTCCTCCCTCCCACGACATACCAAAGACAGTCTGGTGTGTTGATACTGTGTATGATGTCAGGAACTCGTATTGGGTCAGATTATCACGAAATATTTGCATATCCGCGAGAGGGATCTTCTCACTTGAGCCATGTGGGAATTTGTATCATACCTCAACCGCCACATGAATGTTGGTTTAGCATAGTAGAATGCTCGGTCTTAAGCAAATGTAAAAACATCATCGGCATTTTATCACGGCAACGAATACAAACGTATAGCTGGGGGGATTTTTGTTGGATTCCGCACAGCGTTTCATCTAGTTAGTCATACATAGCCCTAGCTGATCATCGCTCAAATGTAGTCGCCGGAAGTGACGTAATGTTTACATATGGCGCAACCTAGTTTACAATGCATCTAACAATTGAGTCATCAAAAATGCAGAACTGAAGATAAGCGTTACTCGAATTTTATTCTTTGAAAAATTCACGTGCAGATGTTTTTTCACACCTTGTTTCAATACAGGAGCCGATGTTATTTGGCAGGTTGTTGTCCGAAGTCCGAACATGTAAGGTATAGCATAGATGGAGGAATGGGGTTCGATGTTTGAGGTGTAGCGGTGAGAATTAGGCCACCCGTATCCCAGAATTGTATAGGTATAGGTATTCCATGTACCGCTACCTAGAATTGTAACCTGCTGATTAACATGATCCAAAGCATGACCATACACGCATGTGTCTTTTCTATTTCAAAACTGCTTTTGTGACGATGATTCAGAAGACTCATATTTGTCACTACATCGCTCTGTCGACTTTCTTATTATATGGCGATGTTCATGTCCCACTTTTAACCCTGTCTCTTATGCTTATGCTGACTTTCTGATTCATCAACATTCGTGCCTTTCTGTAAGCTTCAAGGTGATTTGTTCCGAATGGTACGGTCAGTTTCAAGAAAGGAGACGTTATATACTAAATGTTTCCTTTCTCATCTTTCATAAAGTTGGTCAGTTGTTTTTGTTGTTTAACGCTGCACTCAGCAATATTCCAGTTACATGTGACTGTGGTCTGTAAATAATCGAGTCTGGACCAGACAATCCAGTGATTGACATCATGAGCATCATTCCACGCAATTGGGATAGGATGACATGCATCAACCAAGTCAGCGAGTCTGACCACCCGATCCCGTTAGTCGCCTCTTACGACAAGCATAGTCGCCTTTTACGGCAAGCATGGGTTGCTGAAGACCTATTCTCTACCCGGATCTTCACGGGTCCCTTTCATAAAGAAATTGGTTGAAATAAAATCATAATTTTATGTTGGCCTGATATTTTAGCTGAGTTCATTTTACTTTAATCATTTGTTCTGTTAAACAGTCACACTAACTGTTTGTTTTCTTGTTTCAGATGTGGAGCACACAGATGCCGGTTGTGATGAGAAGAACTGTGTTCGGATGTGGTTCAATATCTCTACTATCCCCGACGTTGAGGCTTTAGCAGCAGCGGAGCTCAGGGTATTCAAGGATGTGTATAAATTGCTGGAAGCTAACAAAAATAATAGTGCTGTTAAACATGCAAAGACACCCCAGAGGCACCGGGTGGAGGTGCATGAGATTATGCAGCCTCTGGGTCAGAGCACTGAGTGTATATCAAGACTTATAGACACCAAGGTTGTGGATCTTAAGAACTCTTCCGCATGGGAGTCTTTTGATGTTCATTCGGCAGTATTAAAGTGGAAGAAGCGGCCCCGGTTAAATCATGGGCTGGAGGTTAGACTAATAACAAACAACCCCTCTGTAACTACAGATACGCATGTGCGGTTACGACGCTCAGCGTCGATGTCCGATACTCACTGGCATACGCAAAGACCTTTGTTAGTGGCTTACACGGACGATGGCCGAGGGCCCAAGCCCCGCACGCGTAGAGCCAGCAATCGGGCGCGGCGCCGGAAGCAACGGAAGAAGAAGAGGCGGCGGAGGAAGCACAAGAATCAGTGTCGTAGACATGCGCTGTATGTTGACTTCAATGATGTTGGGTGGAATGACTGGATCGTAGCGCCTAGTGGTTACAATGCTTTCTATTGCCACGGAGACTGTCCATTTCCTCTGGCGCATCATCTCAACTCCACAAACCATGCAATAGTTCAGACTTTAGTCAACTCTGTGAATCCAAGTGCCGTGCCCAAGGCGTGCTGTGTGCCCACTGAGCTGACTGCTATCTCCATGTTGTATTTGGACGAATGGGACAAGGTTGTGTTGAAGAACTACCAGGATATGGTGGTGGAGGCCTGTGGATGCCGATAGTAACCTGGCCGGCACACAGAAAACACTATGCAAGCTTCCGTGCCTGCTGTCGTTAGTACCACATAGTATGACAGGACATTCTGTGGTCATCAGCTCCTAGAGTCAAATATCTTCGCCATCTTGCTTCCGGGACTTCCGGCAACTGCTGGCAGAGAGGATACGGCACCAATAGGAGCTGCACATGGTAGTCACGTGACTGGTCATTACCTCAGCCATGTTGCAGGTTTTATGAATGTGAAGACGAGGTGTGTTCGGAATATTAAATTACACTAGTCATGGCATGGTGATAGAGAAAGAGAGGTGGCTACACAAGACCTACCCTCCAGTGGCTCTGAGAATATTGCTGACACTATTCCGATCGGGAAGGACGATATGAGTGCTGTAGAAAATATTGGAGTCGAATGCTCAACGCTTACGACTCCCCCTTCACCCTACCCCATTCCCCCACCCACCTTTCCCCCACCCTCCCCACCCAACCCAAGTTGAGCGTTGTGAAGCGCTCAGTTATGCTGGATATTGTACATATATTTATAAAATATATTTTAAATGTTTAATTTTATTTCAGTTAACCTTTCCTAGCGGTTACTCTGAATGATGTTAAGGATTGTACATTTATTGTAAGTTTACTGTGTACAATCTGCTAGGAGCAGGTGCGCGCGCATACCTCAACAAACGTCACAATGTGACTGTGACTTTGGACTACCTCTGTGTTTTGCAGCTGGCTACTCGGCACTAGTAATAAACCAATTCATCCTCAACACCGCGGGCGACTACCAGCGGGTTTATAACGCTCTAGACTCATATACTATAAAATTACTGTCTTGATTAAACGTTTGTTGAATAATTATTTCTATTATGGATTCTATGCTTGTCTTTAGCTAGTTGTAAAACACAGAATTTTAAAGCATGTTTGTTAAAGCAACTTTAGCTAAGGTACAACACTATGGGAAAGTTTGATATTTATTGACTGTTTCGCCGCCCATAGTGTAATCGGCTATAGTTACTGGAGATATGTTACGATACTGAAATTTTATGCTACATTTCACGTGACCAAAGAAATGGTCACGTGACTGGTATTACAGTCTGATGAAACGTACACTAAAATGAAAATAAAAAATACATGTAGAACAAAATTGAGATGTTTTGTTATATATTTTCCACCCAGTTCAGTATTTCATGAACCATTGCAACAGGTGATGCGCTTCGTCTTCACGGATATGAGACATTGTATTGCACACTACTGATTACTGTAAACAAAACTTTATGTTTTGACGAAACCGTGAACCCTCATATAGCAGTTGCCACCAATGTAATTATTTGCTTGGGATTCGTAAGGCTCTCCTTATGCTAAAACAAAACAAACCCGCGCGGAGGGATATGCCGTTGAAGGAAATAGTGCAGGGGACCAGTCATTTTCTGAAATTGCAGAGGAGCAGCTGAAATGGGAATAAAAAGACGACGTTCAGAGGAATACGTTGAAGACAAGTGCCTTTATTGTTATCACAATAAGTACAGCACAGCTATTCACATTTAATAGACGATACTTGAAGCAATTTTTACAGTCTGATCTTCACCAACCATCAGTTGGTATCGTGTTATCAGCTATACAACATTAGCGTTAAAAGTAGGGATGGGATATTAGTATTTGTAGGAAGGAAATGGAAAATAATATAACTTTTACACTAACGCAAATTCAACTATTACAGCGTTGTCTGTTATGGCTGTGCTGGTAGGGGCTTATCAGTTGGGCTATGGACGTTACAATACCGTTGTTTACCGATCGAACCACGGAGAGTAAGCGACCACTGTGACGTGTTCTCTCCATGTTCCATCTTTAACAAGTTAAGTGACGCTTTAGGATGCACGTGGTGTCTTATGTATCAGCGTTTGACGCACCAATGACCAAAATTATGTCTGAGGCAGTTCCGTGAAGGAAGTGCTCGCCTTTTCGCGAACACCTGGTGTCATCACTATTTCATAGTGATTCATAACCACATGCTTATGATATAGTCGCAAACGAACAATGGACTCTGCTTTTGGTATGATTATAGATTTGGTTTCGACGCTTTTATTATATCAAATACGGTAAGTAAAATGTTTCTGCTATATAGCCATGTGGTTATTTCCTGGATTTCCATTGTCAGAACTACTTTATCAGACATACAGGCTCACAATGTAGAGACCGGCGGGGCAGGACACGCTCACCTTTTCGCGAACACCTGGTATCACTACTATTTGATAGTAATCCATAAACACATGCTCGTGATATAGTCGGAATCGTAGAATCGACTGTGCTTTTTGCAGAGATTTCTTATGAATATGGAAAGGATTTTGTCTCTTTTATTCAGTCCACAGAAGCTTTCATTCACAGAACGTTCATTCAGTCTTTACATTACGTTGTTACATTATACAGACGCCGTCCTCATGGAAACCATTTAATATACTACAGTCCTTGTAATCAGACGTTGCATATATTCAGGTACCTAATTAAAGTTTTATGAACTGTTACAGTACTACTGTGAAAGCTGGCTGACAAATTCATCGAGACGTAAGCGGTTTGCGATACAAGCCGGAAATACTCGTAAGTGAAGGTCGAGATCACTGCTCTGTTTGATATAGAAAATATATACGATGACGGGAAATACTTATTTCCCGAGTAATGTGAAGATGACGTCATGTTCAAAATGTGACAAGTCTAAGACCAAATTGTCAAATCAGGAGCAATGATGTTTAGATGCATGTAATGATACTTAATGTGTCATGATCAATAATATGTCATAACACATACTGTGTAATACTGGTAAATACAAGTTTGATAAAGGAACCCGCAACAGAATAACATTGCCAGACTACAATGCAGGGCCTGGTCTCACAAAGCTATCTTAGCGGTAAGACAGTCGTAAGACTATATAAAGAAGATGGATACGGATTCCATCGCCCAAAATCTCTTTGTGAAAAGGTCCCAGCCTATGGATCCATTTGTGGCGGGAGTGGTATTGGCAACGCTGTCAATGATGTCCAAGACAACATGAGTGCCTCGCATAAGAAAGCTATTTAGATTCTTGGCTTTCAAATATTGATTTTAATTGGATCTACTACTTCTATTGACCCAATACTGAGAAGTGAGAGTGTGCTCTTAATGGTTTAATGTACGAAACAGATGGTACTTTATTTCTTTAATATTCTTTTTCTCATCTCGTTCGAGTTAATCTAGTTTACTCCGTAAGATAATATTTGTGCTAATATCATATTTCTTCTCTAAAAGCTTTTTTTGACATATAAATTCTGCTGTGACTCTTGATCCCGTTTTGGTAGGGCGCACATCTTTCTTTTGGGCCATGTCGTAATTTATCAACATGTATGATCTGCCAATCCCTAGTGTATGTATGTATCTATCGATTACTACGACAGACCGTTGAAATATAATTTATAAATACCATTTAAACAATCTTAAGCTTATAATTAGCACAATTGCGAAATGAGTAAACTTTTGCCGACTTTATATCACCTCTGCAATACAACCCTCCATCGGTCTTTTTAGTCTACGAATATACATGGATGTGGTAGTGTCAGCATCACTGGATTGTCTGGTCCAGACTCGATTATTTACAGACCGCAGTCAAATAGCTGGAATATTGCTGAGTGCGTATGACGACTGTCTGTAGATAATCGAGTCTGGACCAGATAATCCAGTGATTGACATCATGAGCATCAATCCACGCAATTGGGATGCGATGTCATGCATCAACCAAGTCAGCGAGCCTGACCACCCGATCCCGTTAGTCGCCTCTGACGACAAGCATAGTCGCCTTTTACACCAAGCATGGGTTGCTGATCTTCATGGGTGGAAGGCCAATATGAAATGCCATCTAAATCGCGTTAATGTTAATAAGAAGTTAAACAAAGAGTATGACATCCTCGATCATGCAGTGTACTATATCTCTTCACCCGCACTTCGGTTTGAGTTCGATTCCACTGACAGTTGACCAATCAAATCACACGCATATGCGAGAGAACGTTTGCCGGCCTGCGATGATTGTAGTAAATAGTTGGATGTATACTACTCAAAACACGACAAAGAACATGTGACTATAGCTAATCTGTCATGGTTGGTGACCATTGCAACACAGCCTTCCAATTGTGGGTGTTCTTGTTTTGAGTGGTCTATATTAAGAAATTATAGACCAAAGGCACCTAGTGGTGTGTTCGTTTTCCTTTCGAGTGAGTTGTACACGCTTTCTTTGACAGGGCAAGATAAATAAACAAGGATATATGTTTTTGTTTGTTGTTTAACGCCGCAATGTTCTAGCTATATTACGGCGGTCTGTATATGATCGATTCTAGACCATACAATCCGGTGATTGACAACATGAGCATCGATCTACGCAATTGGGATACGATGACGTGCATCAACCGAATTGAGTTCACGATGCGAGTAAGTGGACGAACATGACCCACGCTGCATACGAATAGTTTAAATACTTTGGGATCATACAAACCTCTATATTCTAAACTATTTGCTTTTTTGGATCGTTTGTTCCTTTCTCTTCCTTTTTAGTTCGACAACTGCTACGAATATATGTAAGCACAGACCTTCCTGAGTACAGAAGCTGCATACAAATTAAGATAAGATGGCACTATGAATATGCAGAGTGAGTGAGTGACTCGAGTTTATCGTCGCGTTTAACAGTATTCCAGTTATAGCACGGATTTGCCGGTCCCAGACGTTTATCACTTTCTTGAAACCCACGAGCACGGGTATATTGCTGACAAACCTAAAAAAACAATCAAGGCGAACCGGGATTCGAACCCCTAATCAATGGTTTCATGCGTGTCCAAGGGACTCTGCATTGCGAATTGCGACGCCAAAGACGACTGTGCCCCTATGTCCCCGAAAATGGAGAGTTGCCCTTTGTCTGGCCGAGGAAGGGGTCTGGTAGCCAAGGTGGTTAACGTGTTGCTTGTCACACCCAGGACCCGGGTTCAAATCCTGACATGGTGTACACTCAGAGAAGTCCACTTTATTTGTCCCCTGCCATTGTACGGCTAATATAATGTAGAACACTGCGTAAAAACCATCTCATTCACTCACCTCTCGACGATGTAGGTCCTGTTGACAAGAAAAGCGCCGGAAAATTGCGCCGTAATTCGCTGTGCAGCACTCGGACGTACTATGATCCAATCCTTTGTAGTCAGCACAATACACACGCTCATGGCTTTCCCCAACATGGTAAATGTATGAGACCGACATCACTTTGGGCTTTCCTCTCATATTAACTCATCTTCCCGAGGCAAGGGAGTTAACGGACTATAAAAGTCCAGTTTCCACCCTTGCCGAACTAGGCTGGAATTTCCAGGCTCGATCGATCTGCATGTTGAAGTCCACGTTCTTTACGAACCGGATGTGTATTTCGTTCCGCGAATTTGATTGGAGTATGCATAGATTCGTTAGTCTAGCCAAAATGTAACTCCGGAATTCCAGCCTATTTCAGCAAGGGTGGAAACTGGACTTTTATAGTAAGCTAACGCCTTTTCCTCGGGAGGATGATATAAACTTAACATTGTTCAAACTGGCTTGAAATCAACCTCGCACACGCACTCTCATTGCTGTTTTGTTCTTGGTCGTAGTGTCAGAGTACTAATTCATGCTGTGGAACTCCAGTTTCAAGAAGGTGAACCAGACATCAATAAGCAACGGTCCACGCCGTGGTGATGCGATGACAGCCAGTCATTCTGGGCCCACGTTCATAACACCAACGTTACACTATGAGTGGCTTTGTTGCAATGTTGTAGTATTTGGTAATAGTTTGGAGTCCCGATCTTCATGTAAGTCCGCTCTAACGACAAGCAACTGGCATCGTAACCACCCGATCTCCATGTAAGTCCGCTCTAACGACAAGCAACTGGCATCGTAACCACTCGATCTCATGTAAGTCCGCTCTGACGTCAAGCAACTGGCATTGTAACCACCCGATCTCCATGTAAGTCCGCTCTTACGTCAAGCAACTGGCATTGTAACCACCCGATCTCCATGTAAGTCCGCTCTTACGTCAAGCAACTGGCATTGTAACCACCCGATCTCCATGTTAGTCCGCTCTAACCACAAGCAACTGGCATTGTAACCACCCAATCT